TTTGGCAAAACTCACAAGTATAATCGCATTATAATTCACTCACAGTATAATTCTAATACAGCATTTAAAATACACGTTAAAAAATACACAAATCATGATTATTTAAAAGTAAGGCAAATATTTTTAACCGTTACTTAAAAGAAGGACTAAGATTTAAAAATATTTTTCTTAGGTCAATTCGTGCCAAAAAAATCTTAAAAAATTAGGTATTGTATCAGTGAAAAATCATGGAAACCTCATAAATTTTTCCAAATTTTTTGTAGCAAAAACTGCGCCAGGGCAAAAATAAATAAAAAAAGAGGACCTTAAGCCAGTTTTATCAGTAAATTACCTCCAGAATGCCGAAATTTTGCATGAAAACATCTTATATTCCCGTTTTACGATATTTTTGCGCTATGGCCTTATCTAAATAGCTTAAAATTTAAATATATAGCAAAAAAACTTACAAATTATTTATCCTACAATCATCTGCTTGAACAAATTACGCTCTGATTTGCGAAGTTCGATCAGCAACATCGGCTTCTAATCGCAATCTGGCATTTTGAATGTCTTTGTAGTTTTCCCATTAAAATAGATTACCTTCTCTTCTTCTTGGGGAAAAGACGCACTAGACTAACATTTAAAAAATTTCTTGATTTTTGTAAACATAAAAAACAATTATAAAAAATAATGATCAAAAGTACAAAAAAGATTTTGCTACTGGCTAATGTCGGCGTAAGCGATTTATTATAATTTTCATTTTTTCTGGTGAGATTTTTTTTTTAATTTTTCACACTAATCCTAAATTTACGACAAATTTATATTTATTTTTTTTTTACAATTTTTTACTTTTATCTACATATATCGTTTTATCGATGTTTATAAGTTATAATGGCCAAAACGAATAATCTCGTCTAAGACTAATTTATAAAAATCGTTTTGCAATTTTTTTTTAATTAACAGCTTAATATATAAATATTAATTATAAATTTTTTCAACAGTTTTTTCTATACTTAATATCTACTTACATGAATATAATAAAAAAAATATTTTTCATACCTCTAAATTTCCTATGTTGAGATACGCGGCAATAGACTGTATTATATCCGCAGCTAGAGATATATTACTGGTATAAATAAGTAATTTTTTCCAGATATCTCAAACACTATATCCAGATCCGTATCATTTCTTAAACACCTTAAACTCAGAAAGTTATATTTGGTCCAGAATCAAATTCTATGGTCATTGGGAAGCAAGAAATTCTGATTGATCCACATGCATATTCTTTGTAGACGTTCGGTAATTTTAAATTCTACGTAGCTTTCACTTCTTGAATTTCGGCCAACCTCTTTTAAGGAGTACATTGAGAATCTTGGCAGCTGTCGGGTAATTTCGTTAAACATGAAATTGGCAACTATTTGGATACCCAATTAGTAACCTATAAAAGACATAATTTATTTTACATGTTTTACATTTAATTAAGCAGAGCAAAATTATTATTTGAACATTTAAACATGAAATAATGTATACAAAATACATAATGACATTATGTGCCTGTGCGAAATTCTCCTCTTAGTAGATTCTCTTGCATAGTCGATTTCCTACCTCTTATTTTGTTAAGCTCAGCATATCCCGATATGTGGACGTGTGCTGTGCTAAAGAGAGAACAAAAAAGAACACGATGTTCAACAACGTGTAACGCGTGTCTGAATAAAGGTTCATTTCAAGTCATAATTTTTGATCATTCAATGCATAATTTCTGAAGTTTTTCATCCCTCTTTAGCTTATTTTCTTTCCTCTCATTGTATATGTTATGGAAAATTCACAGATATATGTTACTGAGAAAACGTGAAAGCACCGTAAAAACATATGATTCTTCTTCTTAGAGTGCCATATTTTTATTTTTGAACTTGATGCTTTTAAACAAATCAATCGATCTGCATTGATACCAATTCATGTAGATTCTTCAACCATGAGTTTCTGCCTTCGGCCAACAGATCTTTTTCCTTGAATCTTTCCCTATATCATGAGTTTTCAAAATTTCATATTTTGGTCCCCCCATCACGTGGAATAAGTATTCCAGGTTTCTGGTTTGTATAGTGGTGATTAGTTCTGTTTCTTTACCAATCCTATGATATTTTTAATACTCTGCGGTATAAGCAGAGTTCGAAAGCCTCGATTCTTTTAAATTACATTTTTTTAAGTCCAAGTCTCAGCTCCATATAATAATATTGAAAATATATAACAGCAAATAGTTCGTAGTACTGATCCCCAAATTTAGATTTTTTGCACGTAAGAGTGGCATCATTCGTACAAATGCTGATCTGGCAATCTCTATTCGCCTGTTTATTTCTCCAGTATAATCATTAGTTTCATTGATCAAAGTTCCCAAGTAATTATTTTTTTTCTACTTGTTTCTATCACGTTACCATTTGATTGTCCATAGGTGCATATTTTTATGATCTTTTTGTAATTAGCATGTATTTTCGTTTATTTTAGCGTTTATAGTTATTCCCATCTACTCAAACTATTCATACTTAAGCTTTCGATAATATGTGTGTTTGTAGATCTTTCTATACTCGTTGCTATGATTACAGTGTCGTCTGCAATATTGTAAGTTGTTTTATTAATTTTCCGTTATACGATAACTCCCGCTTTGATATTATTGAGCGTGTTTTTGACAATTTCTTCAGAATATAAATTAAACAAAGTGGCTATAATACTTATCCCTGTCTAACTCCTCTACAGATCTTTATATCTATTGTTTGTTGCCCATCCTATTTGAACTATGGCACTTTGGTTCCAATATAATGTTGGCAGTATATGTACGATTTTACTGTCAATGCGCTTATTCATAAGTATTGATATTATTTTTCATGTCTTACTTTATCGAAAGCTTTTTCGTAGTCAACAAAGCACAAGTGTAGATAATTTCGGAACCCGAACTGCGTCTTGCTAATATCCTCCTCTAGCCTTTCATATATTCTTTTATATATTACTTTCAGCAGTACTTTTAAAGTATGACTCATGAGGCTCAGTGTTCGATAATCAGAGCATTATTTTGATGCTTGTTTTTTTTAGGAATGGTTAATAAATGCTGACTTCAGCCACTCTCTGTGGTAATATTCCCGTATCGTACACCGTGTTGAATAAATCTGCCAGTACTTTCAAGTTATCCTCTTCCACTAGTTTTAACAGTTCTACTGGTGTTTCATCTAATCCAGCTGCCTTATTGTCTTTAGAGTTTTTGTTAGCATATTTGATATAATTCTTGTATTTTCTGCATTTCACCTCTTTATTCTTGGAAAAGTTCTCCAACGTCCTTCTCATATCGTCTTAATTTCTCTACTAAATCTATTAGTAATACTCCTTTTTTGTCTTTTATGTGTCCTTGCTGTCTATTTCGTTCCATTCCAGTCACTTCTCTTATTTTTTGGTGCATATTTCTCATATCATATTTTGTTTCTAGTTCTTCTATCACTTTACATTGTTTCATCAAATAGATTTCCTTCGCTATCTTGATTTTTTCCTTAATTATTTATTGTATTCCTTTATACTTCTGTAGATCTTTTGCTTTATATTTCCTTCTTTCTTCCATCTGTGATCGTATTTCTTCTGCCATCGACTGTTTTTTAGCCTCTGACCTATGTTGTATTAAACTTTCTTGAGCTGGTTTCAGCAATGTGTTTTTTATATTAAACCACTTTATATTTACATCCATAATTTGTTTGTTGTCAGTTAGTGTTTTTTGCATATTAACATTCACAATCATTTTTTAATTCGTTTTTTATTTCTTCGTTTTTAGCATTCTTAACATTAATTTTTGGTTGCCTGTTTTCTGAGTTCCATTTTTTTGTTAATTTTATTTTTCACGTCAGAAACTAAATGATTGTGGTCTGAGTTAACATCTGCTCCAGGATAACTTTTAACTGAAGTTATAGAGTTTTTATATAGCGGGGTTTTTATATTTTTATATATTATGTAGCGGGAAACTGGCTACAAGCGGCCCAGTGTAGAGAACACTGGAAAAGAACTGAGGGATGGCCTATGTCCAGCAGTGGACGCGATTGGCTGATTGATGATAGAGTTTTTATATCTGCTATTTATAAGTATAAAGTCTATCTGGTTTCTGACAATGTGGTTTTCTGTATGTGAAAGAGATGTCCATGTATATAAACTTCTCTTAGTAAGTAGTAAGGTGAAACCAAGTATTGGAAATTACACATTCTTTTCTTGGCTGAATTCTATGAGCCTTTCTCCTCTCTTGTGTCTAGTTTCTAATCCGAAATGTCTCTACTTCAAATTTTGCAATAAAGTCTCCTAAAATGTAAGTAATATCTCTAGATTTTTTAATTTGATTATATTGTGCAATTCTTAAATAAAACTTTTTCTAGTCTTATCAGCTGGGAGAGAATAGACTTGGATCATATTAATATTTTACAGTTTCATGCTTGAATTTTTAGCATTACTATTCTTTCTGAGATCTGACAATTTCGTGGACAATGTATCTACTTGCCTTATTTCACGTTTTATTTTCATTGGTCTGGTTTTTTGGTGTATCTTAACAGTCATAGTGACATTTATGTAAATATTGTAAATAACTTCACTATACCTATGGTCAATCCTGCTGTCAGTCATTGCTTCTGTAATCTCCTATATTGCCCGTTATATATGGCAGGATAAATTTACCAATTGGTTTGATTTTTTCTTCTTGTACTGAGTTTCGAGTTATGTTTCTGAACTTATATCCCTTTTCAATTTTAAGCGTGGAGAAGCAATTTTTCCCAAATTATTTAAAGTGTATTAATGAATCACACTTTTATATCTGCAAATAATATTATTTGCTTTTATTTTGCAGATTTATAACTGCTATTAATCAAATTATTACTCTTTATTCAGACCACAGCGTGTCATCCAATATTACATACGGTTATTTGCATTTTTTAGGGTAGCTATCCACCAACGCATAATATTGCACATCAAGTTATGTAAAATATAATTAAACTCGATTACTATGTATATAGCGAAAAACCAATTATACACAATAAATCGATGTGTGTGTTTGGTGATTTTGACTAATTCAATAAAAGAAACAACATCAAAATTTACACATTTACATAATATATAATATATATATTATATATATATATTATATATATATATATATAATAACAGTATATAAATCATTTTTTTAATTCAGAATTGATTGAGATTGAGAATTCAACTTCAGTATACGTCGAGCCTAAGGCCAGCTCCAGTTAACACGTCACATACTAATGTTATATTTATGTTATCCGTCAATATTTCGCCGCGACGCAAATGCTAAACTCTTTCCCAACAAGTCGAAAATAGTGTTAGATACATCAATATACAGCAGATGTCCCCAGACATCGGGAACCATACTCAGACTTTAATCGGACGACACTTCAATTGCGGCCAAACATAGAAATCAAGAATGCTGCAGAAATCTAGAATGCTGGTTTATTCAGTTAAAAATTGTAGTAAATCCTAAGAAAAACCCAAGGTGGTGTTTAAGAAGAAACGAGGCAAACCAGAAGAACAACTCGAGATGTCTGACACATCACCCATTACATGGTCAAATCACGTAAAGTAGCTAGGGCTCAAATATTACGAAGACGCTACAGAAGGCAAAAATGGTACAAGCTAAAATTAGAAGCTTGACTGGGAGAAGAGGCTAACGCTAACCTTTAAAACGCATCCTGACGTATGCTTATCTCGTAAGATACAGACATGCAAGACGACCAGAAAGAAGATCCAAGCTACCCACAACGGAATACTATGATAAGCAGAAAAGCCCATCGTTATGTTGCAGAAAGATTCCTGTCCCCAGATACCCAGCAGATTAAAGTACTAGATCAGATGGATGGAAAAGCTAAAATGAAATTTGCCGAACTGATAGAACAGCTGAACCCTATTCTGCGAAAGATTATAGGGTTACGACGCCTGCCTGCGAAACACCGAAGAACCCCAAACAAGGTCTTCTGTTACCTTGGACAGAAAGAAAAACTAATGAGGAGAGTACTAAAGAGGGTCAACTTTAAAGAATATAGAAAGATAAAAGAATTCCTATAGACTGTTAAACATCGGACAGTGTCTTATCTGGACATATAGTGAGAGGAAATCGATATAGAATACTACAGCTGATCCTTAAAGGCAAAATAGGAAGGCCATAGAGTTGTAGGAAGAAATCAGGTCTCTTGGTGAAAAACTTTCGTGAATGAACTGAGATATCAATGCAGGATAATTAACCCATGTGGCAGAAGATCTAGAAGACAATCGCCAATGGTAATTCCCAATGTCGGATAACTTTGATATGACACATAGTAGGTTTTAAAAATTGTTACTAAATAACAGCACATTCTTGGTGTTGTATAAATTTTAACCTCCGTATATACTTTTTGTTTTATACAATTTGCAATTAATGTATTTTCAAGAAATGCTTTAGTAATAGTTTATATCAGTGGCAACCATGATTATTCAGAGTATCAGCATCGACTATCGGATAATAAAGGTAGAACTATCACAACGAAAGTGGAAAGAAACAATTTTGTGATTGAAAATACCTGGATTGCTCGCGATTATGTAACAAATTGAAAATGTTGTCATCATAATTAGAAATCTAAATCAGCTAAAACTATATAATGGGACGCATTTGGAGGCATAAATACTTATGGGCAATATAAACACGGGACGATATTGTAACTAAAATTTAAGGATGAGAAAGTTCTCATACCGATGATATCAACCGATTTTGCCATTCGAATTTAAACTTCTTTAATATGCGATTAGTCTAGCATTCGCCATGACAATAAACAAATCACGACAACTCTTTAATGTTTGCTTACAGAATATGGATATAATAATTGTTTCATGGTCGTGGTAGTAGTATATTGACGTGTAAGCAAATTATTCTCTTTATTCATTCTCGCGCTTGGCAGCACAACGAAAAATATTGCAGTCCTTGAAAATAATCGCTATGAGTGAGTGCGCCACCTATTCAGCAAATGGTTTACTTTGTTGTCACGTGAATTAGTTTTTTTTATTAATAGAACTCTCTTAATGTGATCGTTATGTAAAAAAGTTCAATATAACTCAGCTAATAATTTAACAGAACATTTATTACTTCTAAGGCGGTACGAAGTTCGCCAGGTCAGCTAGTAATATTTACCTTGACATGTATATCTACAGGACTATCTTTAGGTAAAAATAAAGGCACCAGAAGCTTGTGATTTTAATTTTGAAACGGGTGGATGAATCACATGAGTCTCTCCACTAAATATTCCTTCGGCAAAAATTATCGTTGCCCTGATTATTGTTGAGTTATTGGTGCATAAGTATAACTCCACATGTGGCTAAAAGAGAGAAATATTAGATTATTTTGTATTTTTGATAAATTTGTGAAAAGTTTTCAAAAACCATATTTAGATCATTTATAACTCTGTTTCCGATTGTGAATTTAATATAATTTTTCTAAAAGAAGCGTGGTTAAACTGTAGACTTAAGTAATACTGAATTATTTCTATTGAAAAGTTAATTTTATGGTCACACAGTTGTATACTTCAGAATAAAAATTCAATAATGATATTTGCCGTGCAACATTTTTTATAATAAAATTCTCCAGGTCAGATAAAAATAAAAGAACACAAATTTGATGAACGGGGCATAGCTGTGTACAAGGATTGTGACAGGGATGTGTATTGTCACCACTACTGTTCAATGCATACTCTGAATAAATTATGAAAAGAGCTCTTGAGAGAGAAACAGTATGAATAAAGGTCAATGGAACACCAATTAACAACATTAGATATGCGAACGATACTATCACAATAGCAGATTATCTCCAGGACCTCCAAAAAATAATGAACAAGATAGTTGAGTATGGTGAAGAATATGGATTATCAATAAACATAAAAAACACAATAAACAAAACAACAATAATAACACAATACACAACAAACAAGACAACTAAATTTATGAGGATATCAAAAACCCAAATAATGATGAAATCCTGACAATTAACGGTAAAACTTTAGAACAAGTTGAAAGCTACAATTATCTTGGCGCGCAATAATATAATAACAACATTAGATATGCGGACAATTACTATCACAATAGCAGATAATCTCCAAGACCTCCAAAAGATAATGAACAAGATGGTTTAGTATGGTGAAGAATATTGATTATCAATAAACATAAAAAACACAAATAAACACACACAACAATAATAACACAATACACAACAAACAAGACAACTAAATTTATGAGGATATCAAAAACCCAAATAATGATGAAATCCTGACAATTAACGGTAAAACTTTAGAACAAGTTGAAAGCTACAATTATCTTGGCGCAATAATTAATCACACAAACGATTTTTTTTGAACCTATTCTCTATCCTTCCATTGTTGGATATAGGTCTCCCCCAGTTCTCTCCATCTTTCCCTATCTTGAGCTGTTTTCTGCCCTGTGGGACCTCTTTGTTTTCCTGATGTCATCTTTGCACCCTCATCTGTGGTGTCTGCCTCTTGATCTCTTTTGCATTGTTTGGACGCTACTTTCCGATGGCATTGTTCCATCGTCCGTCTTGGAGACGTTCATTGTGTCCAGCCCATTTCCATTTCAGTTTTAGTGATTTTAGGTATTTTCCGTTAATACATATTCCTCTGTTTTCCCAATCTGTTGATTTTAGGTACCCAAGGTAAACAGTTTAGGTGAAATTATATCCCATTGTCGGACTCCTCGTTTAACTTTTATATTATCCGTTATTAATTTTGTCGTCCAGAATTACGGTCATGGTTGCGTTTTGGTAAATATCATGTATTAATTGTCGGTATCTTGAATCTATTCTACTATTGAAAAGAGCTTCTTCAACCGCCCAGTGTTCAATGCTATCGAAAGCCTTTTCATAATCTACGAATGCTAAGTACAGCGGAAGGTTGTATTCATTGGTTTTCTCAATTAAGATTTTAAGCGCATGTAGATGGTCGATTGTGCTGTATCCTTTTCTAAATGCCTGTTCCACTGGTTGGTAGTTATCAAGTTTATAGGTTAGTCGGTTGTTTATTATTCTTGTGAAGGTTTTATATAGTTGTGACAAAAGGGAAATAGGACGGTAGTTGTTTAGGTCTGTTCGGTCTCCTTTCTTATGTATTAAGATTGTGTTGGCATTTCTCCATTGTTTAGGAATTTTACCTTCAAACAGACATTTGTTGAACAGTATTTTTAGCATTTTTTTTATCGTGTCTCCTCCTTCTTTTAGCAGTTCCGCCAGTATTTACTTCAACACTTTATACACGTTTACTTTACACAAACGATTACTTCAAAGAAATCAAAGTTGGGATAAAAAAAGCACGAAAAAACTTCAATAAAATAACAAAGGTACTTTGTACAAGAGACCTTAAATTAAAATTGAGGGTTAGCTATTGAAATGGCAGTTATCTTTAATGGAAAACTGTACATATTATTTTTTTTTATTTTATATTAATATAAATCTTCTTCTTCTCATCCCACCGTCTCCTTTCGAAGGTTGGTGATCCAAATGGCAACTGTGAAACTGCTGCGCGAAAGATTTCTGTTAATGAGCGGATCTCCTCAGGTCTTTCAGCCATGAGTTCTGGCGTCTTCCTACTGATCTTTTGCCCTGTACTTGTCCATCCAGTATAACTTGAAGTAATTCATATTTTTGTCCTCTCAACACATGACCAAAGTACTTATTAAATAAAGATATTAATATACATAAACATCGTTATATAAAGGTAAATATAAAGCCTAAAGTTTTAAATTTATCTTCATGATTCACTCTTTCTGTCTTTGCTCTAATCACCTTTCAGTATTTTCTATGACATATAATCAGCATAAATTATACAAATTAAACTAAAATAAAAATATAACCACTTTTAACAAGTTTAAAACTAACTATAGAACCCTTTTTTTGTTATCTAGTTAGTTATATTTTGAGTATATATCCCGCAACTAATGATGCCAGCTGCGGAGGAGCTATTGAAAAATACAAAATTGAGTCGCCATCGCAACATTTGTATGATTGCATTAAAATGTTATTCATATAAATAGGTTGATTTGTTCTATATACCAATTTAATTCAAAGTCAGTTTTATTTTAAATAAAGTATATATCAAGGGAAATTATATACCATGAATAAATCTACCAAATATCGATAAAGTTTTCAAGTGCTAAAATGTGCATATTCTCTTAATTGCTTTGTTACAACCGACAGACAAAATTTACAATTTAACTATTATTGACGTCATGCAATTCACGATACCATTATTAGTTTAATCAGAAATGAAATGACCTTTATTTTACACAAATTTAATCAAAAACCATACATTAAAAAAATGGTTTCTACACTTTTAAAAAGTAGACTTAACTTTGAGTATGGTTAAAAAATTTATTTATTTATGTCAGTGATTGGTAATTGCTATTTTGGTTCTTATGGTGTATTTTTGTAATCGAATGCCACAACTTTCGTACGCAAAATTACTTTACTTGAAATACAGTGAACGGCTAAATTATGGAATATTATTATTATTTCGAGAACCGTCGAGTTTTGAGGGAAATCCCGAAATACCTAGGTCGATTTTTGTTATAAAAATATCCATCTTATAACGAACATGGAGTAGGGATGAGTAGTCACCGGTGTAGGTGTAGTGACGTAATAATTATTTGAAATTAAATGTTCGAAATGTCATCTAATAACTGTTTCAAATACCGGTGTAAAATGTTAATAAAACAATGATGCAAGGAGTCGATAATTTCTTTAAGAACATAAAAGGAATGTCATCTGGACCAGAGGCTGTGTTTTTACACAAATCGAGTGCCGTCATTAGTTCCTCTAAGGTAAATGGTGTGTTAATAGGATCGATTTCTTGTACAGTTTTTATTGCGGAGGCCTTTCCAGTTAATGTGCCTGATGATAATAATATGTTAGGTGAGTATTGTCTTAATGTCTATGTCGTATTACTGGTTGTCTATAAAATTGGCGTAAAGCAAAAGGCGATGTGAAAAATATTAGTGTTTCACTAATAAGCACAAAAAAGTTCAGAGATAAACGAAATAAACAGTTCAATGCAACAATTATAGTCAGATATTAAATAATACCTTTACGCATACTCGTAGGCAAGAGTTAACATTAGTGTCCAATACACTACACCTTCATAATTATATGTCCAAAATTTAGTAAATTTACAATCTAAATATTCATTTTAAAAACATAAATAACGATTCTCAACATAGAGAACGACCTTTGCACGTTCAGACGCCGGAATCCACTCAGATAAAATACATATTTAAGAAGCCATAGGCAATGTTATATTTTATTTTGATAAAAAGTGTACTTACTTTTGGATCAGTGCTGTTGGTGCTAATCGCAAGCTCTAATCTAGTGTTCGCAGGTATGACACCACTATTTTCGTAACTTTCAGTTTCGTAGAAAATATTTTCATTATATTTTGTGTTCACGTCGTAATGCTTTAGTTCCATCAGAAGGGACTGCTTTTGAGCTAACAATTCTCTGATCAGGTTTTGATCTGATTCGGATCCTTTGTTTGTTGTTAAGACTTTGGTAGTTGTGTAACCCTTAACTAAAGTGATAGAGCTTTTGATTAAAAAAATTTAAAATTATAACAAACAATTATAACCCTAGTAACACACGACGTCCTATGGACGTCCAATATACGTCCAGTTTTGGTCCGGACGTCCCTGGACGTAAAATGGACGTACTATGGACGTACGAAGTGGGACGTACGGTGGACCAAATATGGACGTTCTCTGGACGTCCGTACTCGGACGTTCCCTGGACGTCCATACTCGGACGTTCCCTGGACGTCCGAACTCGGACGTTTTCTGGACATCCGACATTTACCAATTATGGGATCAAATAGCAAATATTTCAATAAAATAAAAAATTATTTACGTTAATAAAATAATTAAAAGCGAAAAGGTTTAAATCACAATTAATTAAAAATTGTCTAGTTTAATATGTTTTTGTTTTTAGGTAAAGTGTAAAAATCTTTTATTTCTAGATAATTCGTTACAATTGTTTTATTATTCTAGTTATTAAGATAATAATATATATGTTTGCTAATTATAATAAGTAAAAATATGATTTTTATCGACAAGACGAATCTTGATAATCTTTTCCACAGATTAATTGTCTCTTTGTCTTTTCAAAGACAAAATAATGAAAAATAATGATGTGATATGACATGTGATGATTGATGAAATTAATTGTCAATATTGTCATTGTCGTCATACCTATTTAATTTAAACAAATGGCACAGTTTAACCATATTATTATTATTATTATTGCTTTAATAAAAGAAATAAAATAACTGTATTTAAGCAGTGTACAGTGCATTGGTCTTTTTTAAAATAGTGCATGGTTAAAAGTTTGGTACCATTTTTGTTAGGTTATTTCCGATTTTGGTTTTTATTTTATTACAAAAAGGTAAGTAATTTTTCTTAAAATTGTTTATGTTTAAAAGTAAACGATTTGTTTCTAAGCGTCATCAACAGAGGAAGGTTACGAAAAACGTAGAGAATATTGTTGAAAATATTAATAACCCCCATATTCCGTCTTCTTCAAACCTCTTCGGAATCACTAACTGATAATTTTGACGAGAGTTTCAGTTCAAATATGTAGTTCTGGTTACAATACTTCCGATTTAAACTTTTTATTAACATGTTAAGTGCCTAAAATAATCCAAATTACCACGTGGCCGACCATTAGAATGATACTTTACAAAGCTTTTTTTTCAATGAAACTGAAGAAGGGTTTAAATATGGTTGTAACGAGAATTCTGGAGAACCTTATCGAGATGTTTTTAATTTTTCTAATAATTTATTCAACTGGACTTTGTCCTTTAATACTAGGTGATTTATTAAAAAATTATAAAGAAGTTCCCGATCTTTCTCATTTAAGTTCAGATGCTAGAACCCTTCTTGCTTCACCCAGAGAACAATTACTCTGATCCATATGATTCAAATTTCAAACATATTTTTATCTTCACAATAAAACAATGTTATAGAAATGTGTGTAAATTTTTATGGAATCTCATTAAAAAAGAGTTTTTAGTAGTCAGTTTTATCGTAGTTTGTATAATTTGTTGATATATCCTAAAATTGTAAATTTAATAGACATTTACCATGGTTATGAGAAACCAAAATTTGCAAATGCATGTTTGTTTGATTTTTAACAGAGCCTGTTTTTTTTATTAGATAGTTTAAACTAAAATAATTAAGCATGGATGATCAAGTTTTGTGGGGTAGTTAGATTACTGTTACATGTTGATTTATATTTTAGGATAATGAGCTTTCCAAAATTGGTGAGGAAACCATAAACGAATTTGTTAGGAGAAGCCATAAGAAGATGTTCTGCAATAAAATTCAAGGAAATATAGTTGGCTAGGGAAAAAGCAATATAAAACTTTTGAAGACACACATATAGCTCTGATTTTAAAAGGTTTGTAACTGTTAAACATAAATCAATCTAAGGAACATTTAAAAACTTACACTATCACTTAAGTGACCATATACAGCCGATGAAGCATATCATTAACTGTGTCTTATATGTAATTCAGATGGCAAATTTTACCATTTCACAAATGTTCAGGTCTGGCTATGAGATTGCTTTAACAACTACACTTAGCTATATGAGATGAAGGTTTGTTTGTTGGCTGTATATATTTTATTTATACACTGTTCTTTTTGTTTTTTAAGTATCAAAGTGTAATTACTGCTCATTTGGTCATTAGAAATAAATACCAATGGTTTTGTTGGTATTCTTCTAGTTCAGGTGAGATCCATTAAAACTGCAGCACTTGAAATTCAGTTGTTTAATTCATACGCCTTTGAATGATGATTTATTTACAATAAGCAAAGTATAATGAACTAAATCTGAAATTAATTTGTTCAATTTATTACATTACATTATAGTACATTAATTTTGTTTTCAGATGCTGCCTGAAAAAACTCCAAGACCAGTGTTGCCATGGAGAAGGAAATTGAAACTTGATAATGAAATATCTGAGATGTAAAGAGGAGGCAAATAAAATTTAATTTGCATGTTGCATTAGCAAATATGATTAATTTTGTAATGATTAAATTGTGTGGTTGGTGCACAGAAAGGAACAGTCAATTTTTGAGACTGTTTTATTATTTAAAAATAGGTACCTAAAAACAGTATCTACTGCTGAAATAAAACAAAGTTCCATATTAAGTATTGATCTTTTTCATACTTATGATTTCAACTTTAAAACTCAACAATTAACTTGTCTGCTTTGAATTGCCGACCACACACTTGTAAGGTAAATCAGAATGGGAATGGATAAGGGAAGTTGAATGGTTCTGTTTTTAGTGAGCCACAGTTTCAACTATTTTGCCAATTTTTTTAGCAGTATTCACAATCCTTCTTTCTCCTGTGTAGACAAGTGTGGTCAAAAATCCCATATCAGTCACAGCCATATTTACTCTTTAACTATTAAAATTTGTGACATTCTAGCATGCTTACAGTGTCTTAATACCAATAAAGGTCTTGGTCCAGATGGAATATCGTAACTTGTTTTTAAGGAATTGTGCATTCTTTTTATGTAGGCCTCTATGGTTTATTTTTTATAAATCTCTGAGGGTCACTTTTCATCACAATTTATTTATTGATTTTATCCATTGATTCAGCCATTAACTTATTGATTCCTAATTCACAAGGAATCTACGTTCCTGTAGTTGGCTGTATACCATGTATTAAAAATTTAATTAAAAGTCCTTTGTAATAGGTATATATTTAAGGCCCAAACGGGCTAAGTTAAAAAGACAAAACGTTTTCGGAAACCATGTTCCATCATCAGTGTCTAGTCTGTCTGTGATGATGTCTGTCATCAGTAGACACTGATGATGGAACATGGGTTTCCGAAAACGTTTTTTTTTTTTTAACTTAGCCCGTTTGGGCCTTAAATATATACCTATTACAAAGGATTTTTAATTAGATTCCTAATTATCGTTCCATTATAATTCTTTCTACTATTCCTAAAATTTTCGAGGCTTTACTGACTGATTTTTTGACAATAAATCTGAAGAATCAGCTTCATATTGGTCAGCATGGTTTACTTACTGTCTAGTTGTTCAACTTCTACTAATTTACACTTATTATGTTATAATTGCATTAAAAAACATTTTTTTATGCCGATTAGATTTATACTGACTTATCGTATCTACTGTTCTTGCAAATTGTGTAAACCATATTCTTATTCGGGTATGATCAATTTTCTTGAATCTGGATTCTCTTATCAAAAGTGTTACCTTTTAATCTTTATTTTTAAACTTGTTCATAAAATAACCAATCTCCTGAATTGCTTCAGCTAGTTTGTTTTAATATTCCTCCCATTCACTGTGTCAGTATTTATATATCAATGTTCCTTACTGCAGAACTAATTATGATTCACACATAGATATGGTCTGAAACTTTTGTATCAATAGGTTTAGGTACTATTTGAAGCACTAAAATGCTAAATGAAACTTTTTATAAATGTGTACCTATTTATTCATGTATGTTTTATTTTTATCTGTAATTTTGTGTATATTTTCTATAATGTTCCATTTTTGTATAATTTTGACAGTGAATTTGTTCCATTTGTTATGAATAAATAAATATATGTAATAATAAATGTTAGTTCCTTTTAAACATTTATGTTTTTATTACTAAAAATTATTTTATATTTCTATAATGTTGCATTTTTGTATAATTTGGACAGGGGATTTGTCCCATTTGTTAATAATAATAAATGTAACAATAAATGTAAGTTCCTTTAAACATTTACGTTTTATTTCCCAAAATACATTCTTAATATGCACAGGATGACACTACTTTTAGTATTTTATACAATGGCGTTGACGTCTAATTTATATCCTCAGCACTAAAATAGACGTCCGAGAACATCACAAAAGTCCGTCAAGTAAGTCCTCCGGACGTATTATGGACGTCCGATTAAGGTCCAATTAACGTCCCGGTACGTCCAACTAACGTCCGCTCGGGACGTAAAATGGACGTCCATAGGACGTTCGGCGCAGCGACATTCGGACCAATATAGGACGTTAAACGGACGTAAATAGGACCAAAGCGGACGTCCGAGGGACGTCCCTAAAGTCCGCGAGGGACGTACTATGGACGTCCACTGGACGTACATGTGGCTATTAGGGAAATAATTATAACTAACAAATATATTTAAAACAAAATATTTTAACAAAATGTTTAGTCATTTAAGGCAATAATATCTGTAGTTTAAACTAACGACTAATCCGAATATATAAAAAAAGAATTTAAACAACCAAACTTAAGTCAAAAATTATAAACTAAGTACTTGTAAAATGTCTACACAAATGGGACGAAATTACTTACAATTATATTGTAAGATTTGTTCTTTTTATTAATCTCAATAAACTAGGTATCACTGACTACAAAAAAAGCTTACAGCAAAGACAAATACAAAGACTACAGCGTGACAAGCTTATGAAAATACTCAAGAAAATCGGTCTAAATAATAAAAGATATTTGAATTATTGCTAACTTGTATGGAAACCATGTCACTGGCCACTGAATTAATGGAAATACATCAAAAGAGATACGTATCTTAAGAGTAGTACGAAAACTATACTCTTATAACACTACTATATTAACTACTTTGTTTTACGAGAATATACTACAATTTTAATTAAGAAATACTTTATATTTGACTTTTATTTGACGATTTCCCCCTAGGTAATCGTTCTCAAAATACGAATTAAACAATGCATAGATGCCAAATACTATTTTAAATGAAGCGTAAAATGTTTTTGCAGAATAAAAATATTGTCACCAATTCTGTTGGTAAAAATAATCAAAGAAAACAAAAATATAAACTAACTAAATAATATATTGATTAAGTTTCATACCTTCTCCTTCTGAGGATATACAAATCAAATCATTCTTCCCAATAGATCTATAATCACCTTCAACTACACCCGATACTCCAGAACTCATGGTGTCTTTAAACAAGACTTCTCCGGTTTTAATAGACCTAAAATCTACCTTACCATTAGACCACCCTGTAACCAGTTGAGGCGTTCCTTGCCCAAGAAGATCGTAGTAATGCAATGAAATGGCGAAGTGCTTAGACTAAAAAACAGTAATACTGTATACATAGTTTAATAAAACTGTATTTAGATAGTTTTTGGAAAATATGAAATATTGAGGCGCTTTTATTTATATTGAATCGAATTTAAGTAAGGCCTGAATATAAGTTCGAACCAGGTTAAACAAACGAGATACGGAAAAGCCAACAGACGAATATGTCTGTGATCAAACGTTGGCTATCACCATGTTTCGTGTTAATAAGTTCTTGAAATGGTTCTCTATCAGCTGCTGCGCGAATTAGTTTTTTAGCTGTCATATCGCACCATTGTCTAATATAGCGTAGTCAAGATAGCTTTTTAGACCCTATCCCACCTTTCTTCTTCCACTTTTCCCGATATGATAAGGCGAAGTAAATGGTATTTGATTCCTCTAATTACGTGTCTAAAATGCTACGTTTTTCTTGTCCCCATCGTACTCATAAAGAAATTCACAAAAAGGAGAGCTTTAAAAGAGCTAAAAAATAACAAAGCTCCAGGACACAATGGTATAATTGCCGAGCTCTTGAAAATAAGAGGTCCCTAGCCTAACAGATCTATTTAATAGATGTCTCCATAATAGCAAAATGCCTAAAGACTGGAACGAGAGTCAGTCTCAATCAGGAACAATTGTGACCTAAAGAATTATAGATCTATATGGTTACTCAGCAGTATACAAACTTTTTCTTCTTCTTCCTATTTATAAGCAAATCTGCTTGTTCATTGGCGGATTAATACCTCTATGGAAGGTTTTTACTAAATCTTTTACGCGATCGTCTACAGTATACAAACTGTTTATTAGAATTATTAACAATCAGTTGCCTTTCAAAATTGATAATTACCGACCAGTGACACAGGCTAGCTTTCGCAAAGGATATCAAACTATCTAGTGACAATGAGAATACTGATAGATAAGGCAACTGAATACCAACTACCGGTATTAGTATACTTTGAAAAGGCATTTGATAATATCGAGATGTGCACCATACAACAAGCTATTATTAATTATAAAATACATTCGAGTTATAGGCAACTAATACATACTAATACATAATATGTATGATAATGCAACTATGACAATAAAACTGAACGAGAAGACAAAATACCATAAATATAAATCCCATCCCCAGGAGAGAAGTTTAGACAAGGCAACGTTATATCTCCAAAGCGTTTAAATCTAGTCCTAGAAGACGTATTTAAACTATAGATTGGTCAACATATGGCAACAAGTTAAACCACTTTAGATTATCTGACGACATCGTGATTATAGCGAGCACATTCGAGGAATTATAAATTATCCTAGAGAAACTTTGTCGGCCAAAAATACAGACGACCCTAAGCGTATAACTATAAATGGCACTGAGATAAAATAAGTCCAGGAATATAACTACCTAGGCCAATTTCTGAAACTTAACAATGAGAAACAAAGTGTGGAAATGACTTAAGACTGGCATGAGCAGGATTTGGAAAACTCAGTTGGATAATTAAGAACCACAAAATACTCTAATACTTGAGAAGCAAAGTATTCAATCAGTGCATGCTTCATATCATGACATATGGATATCAAACCTGCAACCTAATCAAGGCAAATATGAATAAACTATCCAAAACAGAAAAGGTAATGGAAAGAGCAATGTTAGGACAAAATGTAACAATAGACCCCTATAACTTTGAAAGAGTGGAGAGTTTTAAATATCTCGGAGCTGACTATCACCACAGATAACGATATCACGGAAGAGATAAAAGGGAGAATTCAGGCAGCAAACAGATGTATGTTATAGCCTCCACAACACTATTAAATCCAAGAGCCTAACACGAACATCAAAAATCAGGATATATAAAACAGTAATTAGACCGGTGCTCATGTATGGGTGTGAGACGTGGACGCTGACAAAAGCAATGGAAAGTAAACTCAGATGCTTTGAGAGAAAAATCCTCAGAAAGATCTTCGGTCCCTATCACGATCCGAATACTAACCAATACCGAATGAGAACAAATGCCGAGATCAAACAAATGTAATAGTGCTAGCGACGTAATCCAAGAGATTAAATCCTAACGTCTGAGATGGGCTGGCCATGTTCATAGGCTCCCTAATAACCGCCTTACCAAGTTAATCTGGGAAGAAGTCCCGACAGGGAGAAGGCCCTTAGGACGTCCATGAATGCGATGGAGAGATAATATATGGTCAGATTTGAGAACAATGGGGCTACCCACTGACTTAAACATCATGGACGACCGTTCGAGATGGAAGCAGGTTGTGCAGTCAGCCAAGACCCACCCCGGGTTGTAGTGCTACCAGAAGAAGAAGAATGTTAGGTATACGACTGTTAGATAAAAAAAGAACGACTGGATAAAGTCAAAAACAAAAGTCACGAATATCACAAACAAAAATTGCCAAACTCAAATGAAGCTTTGCAGATCACACTACTGGACGAAAAGACCAACATTGAAACGCCATAATACAACATTCAAGACCTTACAAAGGTAGACGACCAAGAGCAAAACAACATAATGAGAGGAATATATGTCCAAAAATTGACTATATAAGGCTACGAAGAAGTGGAAAATGGTGTTTAGCAGCTCTCTCGTTGAAAGTGTGTGAGACCCACAATATTCTTAGAATCCGGTGGTAACACCACAATTTGAATGATTCTAATTTGTTCAACGTCGAGTCCATATCTCGCAACCATACAATAGGATTGACTAAACATACCAGCTCAAAACCATTTTATGGAGATTTAATGACAGATTTTTATGACGCAGAAACATCTCCATTTCATAAATGCCATTTTATAGGTAATGGATTTTGGGAACAGCTATGACCTTGAAAATGCCACAAAGAATATAACTAAATATCTCTTTTCTTACTCATACTGTTTAAAGTCTTTTACAATATTTTAGAATCGAAGATATGTAATTATATTATTAATGTATTGGATTTTGACAAGAGCTATGCAATTATGCCTATTTAGTACACAAGTTTATGTGAAATGTTCATGGTCATATCTGTTCCCAAAATCCATTACATATACACCATATTTCACGTGATATTTTAATCCATGTTATTATCTCCCTATCAGATTCCGCATTTGTGTTTAACTAGCTGCCTAGGTATGACCAACCTTAGCCCTGCTTTAATAAAAAATTTGTACAGTAATTTTGTTTCCCTTTCAGGTTACGGTTTAAAGGAAGAACTTAAATATACGAAGAAGTCTTCTTCTTATAGTTAAGTTCTATAGGTTTTTCGAAAATACAATTTTGTTCATTATTTGTTTTATATTATTTGTTTTGTGTTATTTGTTTTTATTATTAGCTTCATTAGTTACGAACACATTATTTTCAGAAAATGATAATCGATTATTTTCGGTGCCCACTTCAACAAACCATTATTAAACACTCCATCTGAGTGTATATCACTCAGTAGTTATTATCCTTAACTTGGCATTCCAATAGTTCCAATAGTAAACTTTTTATGAATAAAAAGGGTAATGAGACAAATATGAGTAAGGTATAACCAAATAAAAACCCGCAAAGCAAATTTAAATGTGGCATACGACGCTTAACCATGTACAATTGGCAAATAACCAGACAGCAGCACCACAACTTGCTCATTCTGTGAAATTTGTGGTGCGTCCACAGCTCTTTCCAATACCGACGTGTCACCATCACCATCGTGCTCTGGGGATTCATGAAATAGAGAAAATTTGTTGCCTAAGAAATACCTAAAGCAATTGGTAACATTTGCGTATATTTATCCTTGGCACTGCCGTCTTTGGCAGCACATTTTCACAACTCGTGGGAATAAAATGGACATGAAAAAAAAAATTAAAAAATTAAAAATATCTGGTTCAGAACAGGACTTTAGTGGTTCAACAGACTGAGGTTTTAGAGCGGTTACCAATCTGTTGACGAAAAAAAAAAATGTGCAAATCGTTCATCTTGGAAATTTAACACACCTCGTAGTTAAAAAGTTTTTTTTAATAGACTTGATTACGTCGAATAAATTTATAAAAATTCGACATTAGGTGGACTGCAAAACCAAAAATATTGGTATGTTAACCGTCCGCAACAATTACGGTTCAATCAATACAAAAAATTGATCTAATCTAACAGATATTAATCATGATAAAATGCTACTAATACCACAATGTTTTTCCCAGGCCTTAAAATTTAATATATTCATAGGTGAACATGATTTTTTTAATACTTATTTAATTTCGGTGCTTTTATAGGGTAAATATTATGAACTGTAGAAATATGTGTCAAGATAGTAACTTATTATTTTCATATACGAAGCTTCTTGTATGATATCTTATTATAGCGGTTTACATAGGCTCGTCATCTCTTGTTATATCATGAATGTGGGAGTAGAACAATGCAATCTGGTGTATATATATTAAATCTCTGTTGTATTGAAGCACGTTTTCCATATTCCCTTTCCTTGTCTCCCACGTAATGTATAGAGTATATTGTGTTGAATTATCAATATAAAGACTAAAATGCCGAATTTTATCTTTGACAAAAAATTTTAATAAGTACCCAAAGTGCCTCTTATAATCACATAAAAGTCCTCAACAAAAATGGTATTAAGTGTAAAATTTCTGTGAAATGTTATTTTTACAAGAAATTTCTTTGTGCTAAGCAAATAAATAAAGTTTAAAAACGTTTCCAGCATCATCCAAGCTCTAAACAATATTGGATGATGGGACAAAAAAGTCAGAAAAGAAGGTATATATGAAACTAATTAGTAGCCCACATTTATACAGGGTTAGTTATAAGGAGCTATAGGGGAGGTATAACTGAGATGGCATACATTTTTTAGTTAATCCATACTTTTTTTCGAAAAGCCATTTAAATAATTTCAGCTGAAAAAATGATAACTTACAACTGAAACCAAATACAAAAAATATTGTAAGCAGCATTTAATAAGGGCAAGTATAAAAAAATAAATAAAAAACAATTATAGGTGCCATATCATCCAAATATTTGTGGGTAAGACGGCATACC